TTACACTTTTTCCGAATGTTTCATTCAGATCAGTTAATCCGTTTTCGAAATATGTTCTGAGACGTTTTCTTTTAATGGTCCTCAGATCCGCACCATACCATTTTTTACAAGACCTTTACAAAGTGTTTCATTTAGACCAATTAGTTTTTTTAAAGAAATATTTAGGTATGGGTCCTCAAAAATTTGAAAATACCCTCAAATTTACTTCACTAGATCGTCACTAACACATAAAAATTTCTTCCTTGTAACTTGATTAAACTTTCCCGTAAGTTCCATTCACATCAACTGACCGGTTTTTGAAATATCCGGTGTAGACTGTTTGACCTTAAATCACTTTAATTGGTCCTCGCACGCACACTCCACCATAGATTCACACTAAATATTAGGAGGCACATCCTTGATATATGGCCTATGCTTCGGCAAAGCACGGAAAAATTCTAAGCATGGGAAGTGACCAAAGTGAAGGCCAGAAAAAACAGTGCGAAAAGATAGGAAAAATATATGCAAGAAAAAAAAAGAAATAAAATTCTGAACAAAAACAAATGGCTTTTCCCAATACTGCTGGGAAAAGCCAATAATAATAGCAGCCGGGTGACAGAATTGAATACCATTGTTCCAGTAGGTCATGTTCAAGTGCAAGTTCGATTGATTGTCAAATACAAACTAAATGAAATCATTGCAAATATTAAAAAAAATATATACAATATTACGTGTTGTTCGCAGATACTTCCTTTAAAAACTAATAAATCAAATGGTAAGATTCCTCAAAACACTATTGTGGTGCCAAAAATATTTTGGCACTATCCATATAGTTCGGTGGACCTCGGTAGATATTCTCTGACAATTCACTATGGATTTAGGTCCAAGTTAAAAAAAACCAGTCTGCCTGGAGATCTGGAGGCCTAGTCTAAGAAATGTTGGTTTGCTGCCTTTTTTTTTTTTTTTTTGCTACAATTAAACAAAAAAATGGTATGTTGGAGAATAGACATCACTGAATATAAAATGTATGTGCAACTTTTTATATTAGCCTTTTCAGACGTAGTCTCACTACCCAAACATAAGTATTTCCCTGTTTTGGAATTTCTGCAGATATTATTCTCCTGAAGACGACGCTCCCGCTGGAAACCTATTTTTGTGTTTAGCAGGAAAATGTTTTGTTGTCAATGTAAAACTACTCAAACCGCTAAGGGTAAACAAAATAGTAGTATTTTGGTATTAAAATATGGACTATCAACTTCATAATAGAAATCATAATTCTAAATTATTTTGTCAGTGACACAGATTTCGTCACTGATTACTTGACCTTTATTTTTTCACAAACTGTTTCAGACAATACCAAACAGTTAGAAATAATGCAAATGACTCATACGACTTTTAGACAAAATCGTGTTTTGACTGAAATTCTAGAAGTAGATTATTTAGTAATATGAAGTGTCTTTTCGTTGACATTTAAATGTCAATGTATTTTTCTATGAGTTTGATAATAAACCAGAAATGAAATGAAAAAAAAAAAAGAAATATATTCAGGCACAGAATTCGTATAAGGTGCACCGGTGAAAGACACAATCAACACTTCAAGAATTTGCGTTAATGTCAAATATTGCTGATGGCGAAGAACCACCGTACAACTAACTTTACCCAAGAAGATGGACTCAAAATCTGGGTGATGTAACATAAGACAAACAATAATGGGGCTACATTAAGATGCCAGGAAAATTGTCATGGTGGTTGCAACTTAGGCTATCAGTCTTAAGAATGTTGTAGCACTGACAACAAGATATGTATACTCCCTGTGAGCAGAGCGGAGATGGTTTCAGAGAAGGTTTGTCTATAACCCTATTAGAGTGAAGAAGGCTTTAATATTGTGGAGAATGTTGAGACCAATGTCACCAACCATTATGAAGGCAAATGGAAAGCAAAAGTGACCTGCTGAATCAAAGGTCAGGAACATGGTTAGGATGACTTTCACACAAAATTCTTACCTACAATTAAATCGTTATTTATATTGTACTCAACGTAATTTTGAAATTGCTGGCTACCCCCTTGCGCATGAAAAAAAATGTTACACATACTTCTATTTTACAAAATATCCATTTTTTAAATATGGCAAAAAAAGAAAAATGCAAACCCTCATTTTTGCTACATTTCGACATCAACGTTACGAACAAAATTCTCAGGAGAATGGGCGCAGGAAAAAAACATTGGGATACCGGTCGTAACAAGAGAGATGAATAACAACTCACTTGAAATCATGAATTAAAAGAAAAAAAAAGAGTTTATATGAATATTACACTGACTATACTGCCGAGATTTGGAAGAACGCATTATAAGCCAAAATCATAGTTTTCAGATATTTAGCAAAACGCGTTTCTTGTTACCCTTTTGTTATGGAAATGAATTCTATTGATTTTGTTTGTACTTAGTCACGGACATATTGCATTTATTCTAAAAGGATGAAGAATAATGCATTCTTCTTTTAATAATTGTATTCTGACCAAAAACAAACTTGGTATTGTGCAATTCCACCAGCTAGGAAACTAATTAAATAAGCATCATTGTGTTCTGTGTTTGGTTGATTGCTAACTTTTCAAATCTTGGTGGATATAATGCGCTCTTCCATTTTTATTTTTTTTTTTTTGCTTTGGTGGATGGATACAATGTATAATTCTCATATTAATTTCATATTTCTAAACCTTTTTTGAGGTATATGATCAATTCACATGGAAAAAATCTCAAAAATGGATATAATGCGTTTTTCCCAATCATGGCAGTATCAACGTAGTCGTACAAACATCAAGTACTCTGTAGCTCCTGTGAACGATTCTGTGTGAAATGCTAAATGTAACTCTACCAATATGTTAATTTGGGTACAATTAACTTGTGGTTTTTAGATGAATTCTCATTAAAATTATAGAATTAATGAATGACACCTAAATTATAAAACTTTAGTACCAGACGTATAATATTGAGTTAATGGGGACAAAATGTCAATTACCATAGCAACCGTTTCTATAAAAGTATGAAGTATATTTTATGTATTTAGTGGAAGCAACACAATAAGTATAGTTGCACTATTCACTAAATGGTAATGCAAGATTACAACTTCTTTTACAGTATACAAACGGTGAAGTTGCTGTTAAAGCAGAGTCAATTATAAAGAAGATTAAAATACCTAAAAACTAAACCAGAAAAAATTAAATAACACTGATACAAAGTATCATATTTAATGAAATTATGAAACAATTTTAACTGGGGGAATGATTAAATTCTTAAAAATTCTGTTGGGCGAAGCTTGGTTTTCCCAGTCCAGAGG